CGCGTTGTTTGTGCTGCGTCGTGTTGTACGTGCGTGTATGTGTGTTTAATTTTTGTCTCGTAAAGTGGTGTGCGTGTGGTGTCTGGGATGCGTCCTAGTCGACCGACGTCAAGCCACGCTTGGGACTTTAGCCCCCCCCAAAATGTCGGTTCGTGTGCGGGTCTGATAGGTGTATTATCGCGCGTAACCCCCCATGCTACAGCGAACGAGAAACGCCCTCGGATGGTCCACCTCTGCGATTGCAACCGAGTAGCTTTCGTATTGTGGACTGGTAGCTCGGTGGGGATACGCCCACCGAAGGGAGGTGACAGCTCCCGTAAGGTGGAGGTAGGTTGTGCCTCGTGTAGGCCCTATCATGTCGTAGGGGCTCGCGAGAGGTATGACTGGCGCACTCGGCTGGAGCGGCCTAAGGAAGCTCCATCTGCGCGTTCGTGACGAGGTAGGTCCAACTCGTGCGTGACGCGGCCGAGAGGGTCCCGCGCCGCAGCGTGAGGTGCTGGACCGATACGCGCGACAGCGCGACCTATTGTGACTGTGCGTAAGGTTTAAACAAATTATGTTTTGCAAAAAAAAAAAAGATCTCTTTTCATCCTTTGCTCTTTAGAGAGTTTATATAGTTAGATGTTGTAGTCCGTGGCAACCGTCAAAGTCAAACCCTTTGATTTATCTCCAAGCCTTAGATGATGGAGCTGATCTTAAGGGCGATAAGAGACGATTGTTACCACAGGTATGAACCTATGTACCACCCACTCTCCGTAGGGTGCAGTAGAGGGTGTGGTTCTCAACCGCACTTGCAGTTGTCTAGCGTCGAGAGATTAACCCCTCAAGGCGTGTATCAGCCGACACTTGAATGTCGAACGCGACCTTCGAGATTATCGAGGACCTCGTGGTTGTGGGCTCTACATAGTACGCCATCATTGCGACCGCTTGCGTAAGTATGCATTTCTAGTCGATGTGGGAAGGCCCTGCGTTCTTGCGGTTTTATACTAAGTCTCGCGCGCGTTGCCCATCCGATTTTCTGCGTCGAAAGGTTATGGGATGACTACATAAAAGACTAGTAGGAGTATTATTATGTTATTTGTTTTATGTCGTTCCGTGTGTGTGTGAGTAGTGTGGTGTATGCGTGGTGTGTGGGAGGCATCCTAGTCGATCAACGACGAATCGCGCTTGGAACTTCAACCCCCCAGTGTGTCGATTCATGTGAAGGTCTGATAGAGGTGTAAAACCGCGCGCACCCCTTATGATACAGCGAACGAGAAACGCCCTCAGTTGATCCACCTCTGCGATTAAAACTGATTAGCTTTTGTAATGTGGATTGGTAGCTTGACGGGGATACGTCCACCAAAGGGAGGTAACAGCTCCCACAAGGTGGAGGTAAGTCGTGCCTCGCGTTAGCCCTATCCTGTCGTAGGGGCTCGCGAGAGGTATGGATAAGCACTCGTCCGGAGCGGCTTGCGGAAGCTCCATGTGTATACGCGACGAGGATTGGACCAACTCCTGCGTGACGCGGCCAGGAGGGTCTCGCCCTGCGGGATCGATGCGCTCGACACCGTGTCGTCTCTCTCTCTCTCTCTCTCTCTCTCTCTCTCTCTCTCTCTCTCTCTCTCTCTCACGCGTGCCCCCCCTCCCCACCCCTCCTGCACGCTGTTGAAACGTCGTGGACGGGAAT